CCCCTGGGGCCGCAAGTAATGCTTTGGCAGGTTTTGGGATTTGGAATATTCCCTCTAATGTCACTGCCTTTGACAGTTTCGGGGTTAGCAAGGCGACCAGGAGGCGTCGGGCGAAGTGTGGGAGTTCAGCCGTTGGTACATTCTCCAAGACCCCTGTGATATTTCAGGTTTTTCTGTCTCCTGTACATTGGATCTGTATTCGTAGGTTAGGTTCTGTTGCCCAGCTGTCTCACCACCTGCAACAGGTGGTGTTTTTTTTTTTTTGTGTGTGTGTGTTCATGCGAGGTACCTTCCACTACGCCAAGGCAGCCGGTCAGTGCTGGCAGGTCCTCTCGTATCATGGCCACATCCGCCGAGATTTTCTTATGAAGGTCTGCCATGAGCTCCTTGATAGCCGCTGGTGTGGCGTCAGTTACTGGAGGCGGTGTGCCTGCCGCCACAGGTCACCAATGCTCATACCTTGCCTGGGTCTGTTGGGTTTTTGTTTCTTCATCTTTCGGCCCATGAAGTAGGTGTTGGGGGTCTCTAAATACGTGGAGACCTTTTGTAGAGCTGGTATGCGATGAGATTGAAAAAAATCTAATTCTCGGAGATAAGCTTCAAACCAAATTCAAATCTAACTACAATGGAATTTAAGGCATTGAATGATCTGAAAGACAATCAGAAAATAACTATAAAATGGTCAGACAAAGGGGGGAATATAGTTATACATGGACACCCCAAAATATGTAGAGATGACTAAGAGAATTCTCACTGATCAGACTACTTATAAAATCTTGAAAAAGATCCAACTAAAATATTCATTGAAGAATTAAGAAGCATTTTACAGCAAGGCTTCGATAATAAAGTAATCTCAAAGGATGAATATAATTATATGCTAGTTGGGAGTCCATGTAGCTCCACTTTTTATAGTATGCCTAAAATCCATAAACAAAACAGTGTCTTGACAGGGAGACCTATAGTCTCAGGTAATGATAACTTGACTAAAAATGTGAGCATTTATCTAGATCACATCCTTAAACCTTTGGTGACTCAGCTTCCTTCACACTTGAGAGACACGAAGCAAACACTAGCCGTATTAACACAAATCAAAATGCCAGATCACTCCATCATCTGCAGTTTGGATGTTGAATCCCTTCACAGCTCCATCCCACACCACCCATGCATTAAACACACTGATCACTTCCTGAGGAAGAGGGGAGCACCTTTGGATAAACATAGTGATTTTGTCATTGAACTCCTGAGGTTTGTGTTAACACACAATTTCTCTTTGTTCGATGGGGTATACTACCACCAGGTGCAAGGGGCAGCTATGGGGACGTCTTGTGCACCCTCGTATGCCAACCTGCACCTGGGGTGGTGGGAGCAACAAGTAGTATTCATGGATCCTGCTACAAATTCCCTGACCCAGTATATTCATCTTTGGAAAAGATACATTGATGATATCGTTATCATCTGGACTGGGGCAGGGGACCAGTTCTTCCAATTCGTACAGGGACTGAACGCCAATGATCTTAATCTAAAATTTACAGCGGAAATTGGCACCCCTCGCTTAGCTTCCTCGATCTAACTCTGTCTCAAGATCAACATGGGAAAATTAAAACAAATTTGTTCAGGAAAAGCACAGCTACCAACAGCCTGTTGAATTGGAAAAGCCATCATCCAATTCAAAAGAGAAGGGGAATCCCCACTGGCCAATACCTACTGTGACGAAGTGCCCTTCGCCACTTGGTCCTGGAGAGGCCTACTTGCCAGCCTCCTCCCCTGTGACTATGACTCTTTCATCTATCTGGCTTTAAAGCCCCTAGTCTACCTTCAGACAGACTATTTATGTGGGCTGCTTTATTTATCCTATGTTTTAGTCACCCTGTACCCATTATAGGTGCAGGGTGTGTGTAATATAATTGTTTATAGTGTGTGTGTGTGTACTGTGTAATGTATTGCCTGCTCTCTTGTATTGCTGAGGTTTGCTACCAACTAGGTGGGTTTGGCTATGGAGCTGGTCTAGTGCCCTCTGTTGGTAGCAACAGCAATATGCACTACCTGAATTGCAAGACTGGTTCATTTGCATATTCGGGTAGATTTGCATATTGCTAATTCTGCAGGCAGGTGAGATATTTACTGTTAAATATTGTCTCCCCCCACCCCTTTAAAATGTGCCATTGTGTTGTGATAAGTCACTGTGTGTTTCTTGATATGGTTTGACTGTTTGTGATTTTATTGAGGTTTCACAACAATGTTATTGTGGTGACTGTATTGGCTGGTCCCAAGGGAATAAAGGTTTTGACAGTTCTTCTTGATCCCTCTAAACGTAGCCTTGTCTCGTTATTGGAGGGAGCTGTTATAATCACACTGGGGATTGCTATGCTCTGCATGCTCCCCTGAGCTTGAGTCACTTAGCTCTTTTAAGAGCTTGTTCTGACACGCTCTCCTTGGAGGAGGGGTCTTCACCACACAGTCCTGGATGCTGGAGGTTCGTACAGGGTGGAAGGAAGAGTTCTTTCCCACATAGTCCTGGAGGACAGAAGAGTCGGTTCCCCTTATGCTTATACTTTAGGCTCTCATTGCATTCAGTGGATATGTACATATCAATGGGTTGCCAGTTTTTTACTTTTGTATAGCATTTTCAGGGTAAATAGCACTTACTGGCACTAGGATGTGGATAACTAATACTATTGTATCCTTCCTTCGACAGAAATGTAATAAAGTGTTCTTTTTCCTTTTTTGAGGATACGTAGTCTCGTATTACCACTTAATATTTAACGTGCTCCCTCCCTGTATTTGTATTTCTTCTCTGTCAGCTTACTAGGTAATTTTTGATATTATATTTTGTTCCGTTGGAATTTATACCAGCGCTTGAGAGCTCCCTCTAGACTAGAGGGTTGCTCTCCCATTTATAGTTTCTTTTGTGTGTTACAGGTGTTGGGGTCTCCCTGGGCTTCTTTTGAGCGTGATTTATCACGATCATATGATATTTGCCCTCTGATATTTTGGAGCTCAGAGGCCATATGACTGTCCGCTTCGTTTGTTAGGCTCCGCCCCCAGTGTCATCCCTTTTTTAATAGGGGAAAGAAACATGCAAAGGGGACCCAGACTTGTTCATAGTTTACTATAATGTATTTAACATATATACTGCTTGCCTTTTGTGTGTTAGCATGTTGTTTGTGTAAAAGATGGGCCCTGCTGTATATTCTCAGTTGGGGCCTCATCAAAGCTGGATCTGGTCCAGTCCTGCAATAATAGTACAGACTAGTTTAGCACTAACGTCACAGTACAGTTAGAACGGGCGGTTAATCCGTCGCTCAGCGCTTTCATTTTGGATAATGGATTATTTTTAGGATTGTTTTGCATGAACACAGATGGGTCTATAACTTTTTAAGATGTACCTGGGGCTTAAAAATGAAAGTGTCCTTAAAGATCCTTTAAAATACGGCTTTAATGACTAAACTTCGGAAGGGAATTGAACCTCCGCAAACAAATTCTGCGAGTCACAGCTCCGACGCATGTGTTCCCAGCAGCTGATAAGTAGCGATGCTTGCTGCTAACACACTTTCTGTTAATAAATTTGCAATTGAAGTGCTTAACTGCTAATTTATTTGAGAAGTTTAGTTTTGTTAAAGTTCTGAATGTTGTGCACGCAGGGATCTGTCACTCCACCTGCCACGCACACCAAGTACCTTAAATGCTTCAACTGGCGCAGTCCTTCTTTACACCCCATACATTTTCTACACACTTTTCCAAAACCCCAGATGTAGAAATTCAGGCTCCCGGAACCAAACTAATGTAATGATCAACAAGTGCCCATCGTACTGAATTTTATTTAATATGAAGGAAAATTAATTAAAGAAAATTGTATCAAAAAGACAATTTTGACAAATATGATAACAGTTGTTGTTGCCCACAGTGAGATATTTTTAGAATTTCAAAAAGGTCTATTTACAAAAGTCCAACTGACCCAAACTAAAGGTGGTGAAACTATTCTGTGCAGTACCGGGCTATTTGGACTGCGAAATCCAGATATTGTTCACACTATGTAACAATGTTCAGGTTTTGCAGACAGTTCGGAATGAGCCTGTATTTGTTCTGGCCAAAAGCTGCTGGACGGTTAAAATCTGGACCCAGAATCCTAAAATCAGGGCCCCAAAAAATCTGAACTATATTCGCTGCCAGCAGGAATGTAGTTAAAAAAAAACCTTGGATGCTTTAGGGTTAAACATTATTCCTAAATATTCTATACTTTGTGTAGATTTCGGATCACCCCATGCACTGAATTTAAACCAATAAATGAAGGGAACTGGCCTGAGGAGTCAGATTTAGTTGGATTGACTCCTATTGAATTGTCTTCAGTAAATATGTGAATCGCCACTCTGGTCAGATTTGACAATTTAAAAAAGGTTTTGTCCTTCTGGAAAAAATCCAGTGCTTAGTAAACAGACCCCGCAACAGTGAATTCAAAGTGAATTTCAGATTAATGGTGGGAAGAACATCTACTTGGAAAACTCTACCTGGCATTCCTCCGTTACTTTGCTTTATCATCCCCTTCCTCCTCCGAGACTTTAGAGATAAGTGTCTCCTGGGACAAGACTATGACTAGGTACTAGACGCCACAGACAGGGGGGACATGTGAGAGATGCTTTCATCATTTACCATAAGTTTAACCCTGTAGGAACTGTGTTTACATAGATGTCCCATGAGTCCGGTGAACTTATACCATGTGAATAAGACCACCACTGACCTGGAGCAATTGTATTTATCAAGGTTTATAGATTCATATTCTTTATTTCTCTTTTTATGTTTTTACTTTCTTTGTTATATGAGTTCTGGAATACTTACTCTGTTTCCTGTGCTACAGAATGATATAAAAAAAGAACTGAAAATTAATCACGTTTCTTCTTCTTCTTCTTTTTAACACTGGTTTTCCACCACTACAGGAGGATTCTTCTAAATTTGCGGAGAACAAATTAACTGAATCAATGAATCCCCTTTACTCCCCCCGTACAATAAAATACGCTGCTGCAAATCTTACTCTCAAATGCAAGTACGAACAAATAAGAAAACGACAACCACCCTCGTTAATTCACAGTCATTATCACTCCAGGTAGGTGTCTATGCGAAATATTTCATAGACAACACTTATCGCACTTCTGCTACACCAACCACTAAGCAATGTTTTAAAACCATATTTGCTACTGAGAGCTATTTATCGGGAGTGTTAAAATCTTGAAGGAACGTATTCTCTCAGCCACTGCAGGTCTTCTGCTCTTCCTGTCCCTCTGCGGCAGAGAATGGAATTAACGAGAAAGGGAAAATGGCTGTACTGAAATGCTATCTCGTAGCTGCTCCATCTTTTGTTCAAGAAGAAAGCAGATTAGCTGGCACTGAGGAGCAGAATACTTTGCCGTCAGCCGCTGGCAGTCTGGTATGCCTGGTGTCCGTATGCCCCATCCATCTGTTTCACTCAGTGGATCTGCAGGAGGCATCGGGCTTTCCAAAGCATTGCCTGCTCTAGTGCTGATGTATTAAGGATGCTGCTGCCAACATTTAAGAATCACATCAGGGAAATTTCTCTCCTCCACCCCCCATGCAAATTATTCTCAAGTGAAGTAAATAAACAGGACAAGATGGCCACGGGGAGTAGGCTGTAGGTTGAAGGGTTCTGCAAAGAGGTCCTTTATAATCACTCTTTACTGTCAAAAATGTCATCTTTTTCTCTTGAAAAATAAGAATCTGAAAAAGCACATTTTGTTTCTAAATACCATTAAATTATCTAATCGCATGTATGTAAACGCGAGGGTTTAAACAGGGTGTCTATCCAATTTTCTCTCCATAAACCTTTTTTTAACCATATTCAAAGCAGGCTAATATGGTTTTCATTTAAACAAGTTGCAGTGAATTTATGTGGAATTATCATTTAAACATATACAACTGTCCAGTGTAGAGGCTGCCATCTTGAAATTGGTTCAAAGGTTTTAAACCCTTAGAGAGCTTGAATGATGGCACAATCAGAGCTGCAGACAATGCGGTTTGAATTCTATTAATGTCTTCTGTTTAAGACTATTTGTTTGAGATGTACTTAGGCAGAATGTAAAAATGAAATAAAAACGGCTGACGCCCCAGCCTTCATTGCACTGAACACGTTCTTTCATAGCTGTGGTGCTTTCTAAAATTCCATTATAAGTATTTTACATTAGTGAACAATATTGTTCACCAGTGTCATGTTCCTTTATTTTATTCAGAGAAACAAATATCATATAATAAAGGGAGGGGGGTGATAACCAAAGTTACTACAATAATTCTATTCATTTTAGACTGTGTTTTTTGGAAGCAGTCTAATGCTATTTTATCAAAAAGATAATTTATGCTGGCACTCAATCACATAGGTGGTGCTGGTATTCGAGGTTATCCCTAAGAAAGCCCCATAAATAGCATTACAAAAAATATATATGAATACCGCACTCAATGTAGTAAAATAATAAACCGTAGATAAAGCAGTACTGTAATTGAATTTATTATTTTCAATTCTTTGATGTCTAGGTATATAACTTAATATGTGAGATTATAATTTAATCAATGAATATATTACATCATATAGTCAATCGCTATTTACAAAAATAACCTCCATAGGTGTTATATAGATAAATAATTGATATATAAACACAGTTGTAAGGATTCCTGTTTGCAAATCTAAGGAAAACCTATCCATATGGATAATAGTTGAATCTGTGGTGTTCTATGTACATAGAAAAAAGAAAAAAGAAAAAATGAAAAAATGAAAGAAAGAAATATGAAAAATGATGAAAAATTGAAAAAATATAAAAGAGAAAAAAATAAAAATAAAAAGTGTACAGATAGTAAATGTCCTGATGTACAATAGTCCAGAGAATAGTGCACTTTATATAATAAATAGGTGGATCTCACCAAGTTGAATATCCAGATGGATTGTAGCCTTAGTAGCAACTGGAAAAAATGAATGAATGAAGACTCTGTGAAGTGTCTATTGGAGGATTTTAAACTGCTGAATTCCAGAAGAAGGGGTGGCTTGAGAGACGAGAGAAGTGGGGGGGGGGAGTTTCCTGATCATGGCATAGGTGGTGGGAACGGAACTCTGGGTCTGTCATACATGCTTGGGGCCGGCGGCCCAAAGTTATCAGTTTTGGTTAAACAAAACAAGTTTGGTTAACAATGTTTTCTAAATAAAGCTGTGACCAAGCTCTTTCACCCAAAACATGTGTCCAATGTATTGTTGGTCGGGGTTGAACTTCGGTGTGGAATGGTAGTTTCCATGTAGTTTGACAATCAAGCAGTGTTTTTAATGACATATCTATTGTGTGAAACGGAAATCTATATTGAAAGATATTGTATCAGAGACAGAGCCGGTACATCACGCAGGAAGACTTGGTGATTCTGACAACCTACGATTTCAGAAAAGCAATGATCTAAATAACATGTGTACGATTCAGTATAGTGAGGCATTGCAACAGTGTAACCATATATTCTTCATGTGAGAGGACCAATTATCCCTCCAGGATGGTGCCCCCTAATAATATACTTACTGTGGACTGTAACTTCCATTATATGCAGTAAGCAGAAAGATACCCTTATCTCTCTTATTTGAATACGGAACGGGTTTCAGCACTTAGTACATAATGCACATTACACACTCGTTAGTGGAGCTGAATCGAGGTTCAGAAGGTTCTTTTGGAGAACTAAGTACATTTACTGAAAGTAAATCTGAGCATTACCCAGCACAGCTAGCAGGGATTATTTTTAACCTTCAGCTTGGTTTTTATTTTTTTTTGTCAAAACGACATACTTCAACAGTGCTTAATGGGCTGAATACACTATGAAACATCAACACTGGAAAGATAACACGACCACGTATGAGAATCCTCATTAAGACAATGAAACAGAAAAGAGATGGATGGCGTTTTGATGTCCAGAAGTTCAGCCGTAATGACCTTTCCACTGTGGAAACGGCCACGTGGCACATATCAGATATACTGACACTTGGCATTAATGCTGTGGAAAATATACTTTGTTGTATTTTTTTCGTTTCCCAGGTATGGATAAACGTGAACTTGTTTTCGTTGCCACGGTGATGAGAGATTCTCCTTTCTACAGTAACTGTGAAATAACTTGGGAATTCAGGTCTCTGTCGGCCTCTCGCTGTGCGAGTTCAGCAGATCATTTGAGACACTCTCCATTAGCCGGCCAGCGGCCTGCTTGTCTCCCGGACAACTGTGTGACATTAGCTGTTTGGATGCGGATAGCAGAGCTGACATAATACAGATGTCATGATGTGAAGAGCTCTGTATTTTTGGGCAAATCGCTCCGCCGCCGAATGAAGGCTCTGTTCTTACAGGACATTATAGCATGACCGTTTAAATGTTACTATTCGGCATCTCTTTAATCTCCCCTGGCTACAGCTGCGAGACCATCTGAGGACTTGGAGGCCGAAGTTTTACATGAAAGAAATTGAAGAGGGTATGATGATAAGACTTAGGGCGTATGTTTTGTTCACAAAGTGAATAGTGAACATTTACACGTTACTCAAAGTGAAACGGAAATCCAGAGCAGCCAAACTGAAAGCCTAGTCAACTTAGAAAGCAATTCCAGTTTGGTTATTTAAATCTTAAATTTGAAACTCACAATGAATTCACTTTAAATTCTCACTTTAGTGAATAATTCACCGGAACTTCTGTGTTCACTACTCTCTGTGTTCACTGTGGACCATGTACTCGCACGTGGATGCTTTTAAATGGGCTGTACCTGAAATTACCTTCAATAATCAGAGACATCATTAATAATCTCAGTGGACCTTGATCTAGTGATATTAAGAATACATTATATAGAGATTTGTCTGGCCACCCCACGTTAAGTGTTCTCTAGGAATTGTGAGTGTTGATTTTACAGTTTGATGAAAAATGAACCTGAATACCACTGCTTTAGGATCTTAATATTTTAATAGTGTCACAGAGATGCGAGATAGGGATAGGGCCTTTACCTTCATACTTGATTTTAATTTCATATTTTACCGTCCTGTCCAGCCATGTTGGGGAAGGGAGGTGTGACGGAACGCTGGCACTCCGACTGAGTACCTCCGCCAATCGATGCTCCTAGTGCTCGCTGAGGACTCCAAGCACTCCAACCGACACCATCAGCACTGCAGACCCCACTTCCAGCGATGCAACTGCGCCGGGGTCTCTGCTGTTTCCACCCACCCTGGACCCAAGGCCAGGATCCAGCTTCCAGTGGGTGAACCTCTCTTTCCCCAGAGAGCAGGAACAGGAACAAATCAAGCTATTGCAAGAGCTTCCTCTGGGGAGTAAGTGATTATAGCAATCCCCAGAGTGTAGGTATCCCTTCCCCCAAACATGAGCCAAGGCTTAATACTGGAACAAGACTGATTTACTGGCACACAGAACTCACAATTTATGCAACACAAAACTCCTCCTCTGGGCCAGGCTAGATAATTGAGTTTCTACAATACACAAAGCTCAATTATCTGCTGGCCAGAAATAATACAGTTTCATAAAACACACAGGGACCCCAAAACATGCAATAACCCCATAAAAATCCTTGGAACCGGGGGATCTGGGTGAACCACATATCCAAAATTCACCCAGATCCGTTCAGTACTTTGGAAAATACAGTTTAATGCAGATTCTGCAGAACATATACAGGCTAAATGAAAAACAATCACTTTATAATGTGTCCCCTGCTGTATAGTCCAAAACCACTGCACGATGTCTCTGTGCACCAAATACTGGCAAGATGGCACCGTGTTGAAAAGTCCAAACAGTGTCTGTGAGTTAAAATGGCCGCCATCCATTGTTCTCACCATGTGCTTCTGATACAGGAAATGGTGGCCACCCAGTAACTCCACAGTATGTCCCCAGATGGTTCTTAAAGGGCCAGCAGCAGCACAACACAAATCCATTATGCCCAAATCATGTCTTTAAAGGGCAATACATCCCAGGGGCCATAGTCACAGGGCAAGAGGCGGGCAAGCAGTCCTCTCCAGGCACAAGTGGCGAAGGGCACTTCGTCACACATCTTCCCTTTGGGGGGAAGACTAAACAGGTACCTGACCTTCTGCCGGTCAGTACCTAGATTAGTCGGGCAGCCCACCCACAAAGAAAAATACGCAGAGTAACCCCCCCACAATAAATGGTACTGGTCTGTAGGTTCATGTTTGTAGTGGGACAGCGCAGCACTCTCGGTCTCCCTGGTGCAGCTAGGCAAACTGCTGGTGTTGCTTGGGGGGCAGAGGCCAGTGGCGCTCTGCCCTGCTGCCAGCTCTTCCACTGGGGTAACCCGTAGTAAGTCAGGCTCTGATACAGGGGAAATGGGGGGGTAAAGGCTAACAGAGCTCTGCCCAGATGCCAGCTCTTCTGCTGGGGTAACCCGTGGTAAGTCAGGCTCTGATACAGGGGAAAAGGGGGGGCAGAGGCTAACAGAGCTCTCCCCAGATGCCAGCTCTTCTGCTGGGAGGGGGTCAGTGGGTATCGCAGGCTCATCCACTGCCCCCAGGACCTGGTTGGGATGTAGCTGGGGAGGGGAAGTTTCACTTACCTCCTCCTCCTGGCATCCCTGTGGGGTTGGTTGGGGATCTGGTCCGCCCGTCCAGCCTCCCTGTAGGACTGGCACAGAGACCGCGGTCCAATCTGCGCCAGTGTGGTTAGGTTTGTCTTCCCCCTCTCCCGGTATCTCTGGCTGCTGTTGGAGGGGGAGGCTGGTTGCCCCCACTCTCCAGGACGCTGGTTGCTGTAAGGTGGAGGGATCGACCATCACCTCCTCCTGGAACTCAGGCCGCCGCTGGGGAGAGAGACCAGTTGTCTCCTCTCCCTGTATATTATACTGCCGCTGGGGACCTGGGCTGACTGCCCAGCATCCCTGTAGGGCTGGCAGAGAGACTTCAGTCCCATCTCTGTGTGTCCCCAGGACACGTCTATGAGGTCCACTACCTCAGGTACCTCTGGTTGGTGGAGGAGAGGGAGGCCGGTTGCCTCCCCTCCCCAGGACGCTGGTTGCTGTATGGGGGAGGGATCTACCATCACCTCCTCCTGGAACTCAGGCTGCTGCTGGGAAGGGAGACCGGTTGTCTCCTCTCCCTGTGAGATACACTGCCGCTGGGATCTGGGCCGGGTACCCAGCATCCCTGTGGGGCAGGTGGAGAGACCTCGGTTCCATCTCCACCTGCCATCTGTGGGTCTTCCCAGGACCGTTCCATAAGGTTGCTCACCTCTGGGGCTGGTTGGACAGAAGAGGGTAGGGTGTCCAGGTAATCCTCTGGGCTGAGGGACGGTGATTGGGCTAAGTTGAACAGGCGTCGGTAGCTCTGCTCCAGCCCCCACTCCATTGCGACCAGATGACTCAGGTCTGGCCCCAGGTCGTCCGCTCGGGGAAGATCCAGCAGGGTTTCCCTGATGTTGTGGATGTCCCAGAACCGAAACTCTGTGGGGCATCCAAAGTCATCGCCCTCCTCATAGGCCTCCCACAGTAAGCCCGGGCCATTATAATCCTCTCCCTCGGGCAGATAGTGGTTAGTCATCGAGGGGTTGCGCTGGGTGGCGTACCACTTTAATGCCCGGTAAGCTGCATCTAGCCACAACTCCTTCCAAATTAAATCCCAGAGTTCCAACAACCATTCATCCAAGGGTTGCTCCCCTAGGAAAGGGGAGCGCAGGGCCTCGAGTACCTGGAACCGCTGCTCGTCACTGGGAAGGCTCTCTCCCCGCCGCCATTGTACCTTTTCCAGGGCATCGTGCCACATCTCCGTACGAGTGACATCTCTCCAGTTCAGTATGCACTCCTCTGATACAGGCCCGTCCTGTTGGGCCAAGTGCTGCTGCAACCTCCAGCGAAACTCCTCTTCCATGTTGCTGTGGATAGGGACGCTGCCCGTAGCTAGCTCTATCCCTTGAGTTCCTCTGAAGCCAGGGTCACTGCACAAGTGCTAGCGTTGCCCTCAATTATAAATCCGTAACTCCACACGTTACCGGTGTCTCCGAGCTGCTGGTCCTCGCACTAGGACGCCATCCCGCCGCTGCCACCAAATGTGACGGAACGCTGGCACTCCGACTGAGTACCTCCGCCAATCGATGCTCCTAGTGCTCGCTGAGGACTCCAAGCACTCCAACCGACACCATCAGCACTGCAGACCCCACTTCCAGCGATGCAACTGCGCCGGGGTCTCTGCTGTTTCCACCCACCCTGGACCCAAGGCCAGGATCCAGCTTCCAGTGGGTGAACCTCTCTTTCCCCAGAGAGCAGGAACAGGAACAAATCAAGCTATTGCAAGAGCTTCCTCTGGGGAGTAAGTGATTATAGCAATCCCCAGAGTGTAGGTATCCCTTCCCCCAAACATGAGCCAAGGCTTAATGCTGGAACAAGACTGATTTACTGGCACACAGAACTCACAATTTATGCAACACAAAACTCCTCCTCTGGGCCAGGCTAGATAATTGAGTTTCTACAATACACAAAGCTCAATTACCTGCTGGCCAGAAATAATACAGTTTCATAAAACACACAGGGACCCCAAAACATGCAATAACCCCATAAAAAGTATATCCTTGGAACCGGGGGATCTGGGTGAACCAAATATCCAAAATTCACCCAGATCCGTTCAGTACTTTGGAAAATACAGTTTAATGCAGATTCTGCAGAACATATACAGGCTAAATGAAAAACAATCACTTTATAATATGTCCCCTGCTGTATAGTCCAAAACCACTGCACGATGTCTCTGTGCACCAAATACTGGCGAGATGGCACCGTGTTGAAAAGTTCAAACAGTGTCTGTGAGTTAAAATGGCCGCCATCCATTGTTCTCACCATGTGCTTCATCCATTGTTCTCACCATGTGCCTCTGATACAGGAAATGGTGGCCACCCAGTAACTCCACAGTATGTCCCCAGATGGTTCTTAAAGGGCCAGCAGCACAACACAAATCCATTATGCCCAAATCATGTCTTTAAAGGGCAATACATCCCAGGGGCCATAGTCACAGGGCAAGAGGCGGGCAAGCAGTCCTCTCCAGGCACAAGTGGCGAAGGGCACTTCGTCACAGGAGGGCATTGTATTCAATTAGAGTGTAGGGTGGAGGATGCAGTGCATTAGAGTGGAGGGAGGGAGGGATGGTGGGCAGTGTATTGGATTTGGGGGCAGTGTATTAGGAGGAAGGGGGGCAGTGTATTGGATTTGTGGGCAGTGTATTAGGAGGAAGGGGGGCAGTGTATTGGATTTGGGGGCAATGTATTGGATTTGTGTGGCAGTGTATTAGATTAGAAGTCTGCATGGAGGCGCTAAACGCTTCCTATGGAGATGCTAAATGGCCGTGCTGCTTTTTGCCACACATGTAAAATAGCCATCCTATAGGAAAGCATTGGACTGGCTGAGATCATCAAGTTTGACGATATTAGCCGAAGTGAAAAACACACTCCTAGGACTTCAAAATCAATAAGATAACATATTTTGTTTTTTACAGCTGTGCAACAGCATACATTCACCATTTCAATCCCATTACCAAACTTTCTTAAAGGACCACTATAGTGCCAGGAAAACATACTCATTTTAGTGGCACTATAGTGCCCTGAGGGTGCCCCCACCCTCAGGGTCCCCCTCCCGCCAGGCTCTGGGAAGAGGAAGGGGTTAAACTTACCTCTTTCTCCAGCGCCGGGCGGGGAGCTCTCCTCCTCCTCTCCTCCCTCTTCTCCTCCTTTTCGGCTGAACGCGCATGCGCGGCAAGAGCCACGTGCGCATTCAGCCAGTCCATAGGAAAGCATTCACAATGCTTTCCTATGGACGCTGGCGTCTTCTCACTGTGAAAATCACAGTAAGAAGCACGCAAGTGCCTCTAGCGGCTGTCAAGAGACAGCCACTGGAGGCTATATTAACCCATTTATAAACATCGCAGTTTCTCTGAAACTGCTATGTTTATTAAAAAAGGGTTAACCCTAGCTGGACCTGGCACCCAGACCACTTCATTAAGCTGAAGTGGTCTGGGTGCCTATAGTGGTCCTTTAATATGTCAAGGTAGTTGGACTGAATCATTGGTTATATGCAAATGAATGTCTCCTTAACGCCGTTACGGCGTTCAATGCCGTCGCGGCTTTAAAGGGCTCTAAAGCCGTTGCAGCGGCATAGAACGCCGTAACGGCTTAAGCCCTCAGGAGGTCCGGCATACTCACCTCCGCCGCGATCCTCTTCTGGCAGCCCTCCCCCAGCGAATGAGGCCCCCAGGGGCCATGTGATCGCTCTGTGGATCTGCCAGCAGGGGGGCTGTCTGAAATGTCAGACAGTCCCCCTGCTGGTGGGAAATGTAAAAAAATAAATAATAAACATGTTTTAAAATAAAACAAATATATTTACATATATATGTATATCATATATTAGTATTAAAATACACTTAGAATGACGTTACACATATATATAATATGTATATATATATCTATTATATATATAATAGATATATACACATATATTATATATATATATACGTATAATTACAATAATAAATAAATAAAATAATAAATAAATAAAATATTAACACAAAATTTTATATAAATTATATATTCATATGTAATTTCATTCTAACTGTATTTTGTTATTAATATATATATATATATATATATATTCGTAACAAAATACACTTAGAATGACATTCTATATATATCTATCTATATATAAAATACAAATAACCGCAAATATATTTATATAGATATATACATATAATTACATAAAAGATTACATTAGTATACACGTAGAATTTAAATACCTATAAATGCATATATATTAAAATTCTACGTGTATATTTAAATAATCTTTTAACATAATTATGTGATTTTATTAATTAAAATTTGATTGACATGCCTGACAACACAGGGAGAAAGTGCAGAGAATTTAATTCGCAAGCACTATATTTGACCCTGTAACTCTCCAAGACACCAAAAAACCTGTACATGGGGAGAGGGGTACTGTTTTACTCGGGAGACTTTGCTGAACTCAAATATTAGTGTTTCAAATTGGTAAATTGTATTACAACGATGATTTAAGTAAAAGTTAAGTTTTTTGCATTTTTCACAAACGAACGGCACTTTTATGGACTATATTATTGTTGTAATATGTTTTACTGTTTTGAAACACTAATATTTGTGTTTAGTGAAGTCTCCCGAGAATAACAATACCTCCCATGTACAGGTTTTATGGTGTTTTGGAAAGTTAGAGAGTCACATATAAGGCCTGCATTTCATTTTTTTGACATTGAAATTTGCCAGATTGATTATGTTGCCTTTGAGAGCGTATAGTAGCCCAGGAATGAGAATTACCCCCATGATGGCATACCATTTGCAAAAGTAGACAACCCAGGGTAATGCAAGTGGGTAATGTCCAGTCTTTCTTAGTAGCCACTTAAGAAAGTGTTATTCTCGGGAGACTTCACTAAACACAAATATTAGTGTTTTAAAACAGTAAAACATATTACAACAATAATATAGTCCATAAAAGTGCTGTTCGTTTGTGAAAAATGCAAAAAACTTCACTTTTACTTAAAATATCATCGTTGTAATACAATTTACCAGTTTGAAACACTAATATTTGAGTTCAGCAAAGTCTCCCGAGTAAAACAGTACCCCCCATGTACAGGTTTTATGGTGTCTTGGAGAGTTACAGGGTCAAATATAGTGCTTGCAAATTAAATTCTCTGCACTTTCTCCCTGTGTTGTCAGGCATGTCAATCAAATTTTAATTAATAAAATTACATTATTATGTTAAAAGATTATTTAAATATACACGTAGAATTTTAATATATATGCATTTATAGGTATTTAAATTCTACGTGTATACTAATGTAATCTTTTATGTAATTATATGTATATATCTATATAAATATATTTGCGGTTATTTGTATTTTAACATTGTTAACCAAACTTGTTTTGTTTAACCAAAACTGATAACTTTGGGCCGCCGGCCCCAAGCATGTATGACAGACCCTTCGGTTGTCTACTTTTTCAAATGGTATGCCATTATGGGGGTAATTCTCATTCCTGGGCTACCACACCGTCTTAAAGGTAGCATTAATTTCAATTTGAAAATGGAACGTTCTATATTTGACCCTGACACTTTCCAAAACACCATAAAACCTGTTAATGGGGGGTACTGTTGTACTCGTGAGACATCGCTGATTACAAATATGTGCATTTTTTTGCAGTAAAACCTAACAGTATTATGACATTCACAGCTAAAATGTCAGACGGAAATACAAATTTAAAAAAAAATCTTATTTTCTCACATTTTTTAAATGTTATTTATAATAAATTATGTTCCATATATGAATAGTTAATGATAAATTAAAGCCCTGTTTCTCCTGAACAAAATGATATATAATAAGTGTGGGTGCATTTAATATGAAAGAGGTGAATTACGGTTGAACAGACATATAGCGCCAACTCTGAAGGGGTTAAAATAAATTTGTTCTTTTGTTTACTTTGAAGCCCTACGAGCGCGAGGATGTCCAGTGTCAGGTAACTTTTTTTATACTGAACTTTTCTAAATTAACCTACTTTTCTATGAAAACTGAAGTTTTTTTAGTGGCCCACATAAACTTAAACCTTGTTTATTTGGCCCGTGTTAGCCTTTGAGTTTGACATGCTTGATGTAGACCATGGGTCGGCAACCTTTGACACTCCAGATGATGTGGACTACATCTCCCCTGATGCTTTGTAAGTATTATGGGAGATGGAGTCCACAAAATCTGGAGTGTCATATGTTGCCTTCCTCTGCTCTAGATGATGGACAGTACAGAGCTCCTTGTCCTAACTATATCTTGGAAACCTGGGAGCAATCACTATATTCAGTGTTAGCTAGAAGATAGGCTGTAAGAAGCTCCTTCTCCATGTTTAGCTGTACCTTGGAGTGGCCACCTATGCTCAATATTATCTAGAAGGTGGACAGTACGAAGATCCTTGTCCATGTTCTAGCTGTACCTTGGAGACCAGGGAGTGGCCCCTATGCTCAACGTTATCTAGAAGATGGACAGTGTGAAGCTCCTTCTTCATGTTCTAGCTGTACCTTGGAGACCAGGAGCAGCCCTCTATACTCATCGTTATCTAGAGGATGGACAGTACGAAGCTCCTTCTCCATGTTCTAGCTGTATAACTATCATGATCCTTATCAATGTTATTTCGATGTTCTCCTGTTAAATAAAACAGACACCTGGGTCGTTAGCGCAGCTGTCACTTGGTATGATCCATTTTTCCAGAACCTACTTCAAAAGAGTATTTCTATCAAGATAAAAGATCTTGGTGCAATCCACATTGTTATTTAAAGGTACACTGTAGGCACCCAGACTACTTCAGCTTATTGACGTTGTCTGGGTGCTGTGTCCCTTTTGCACTTAGTGCTGCACTGTTTACATTGCAGCACTAAGTCTGCCCTCAGTGGCTGTCTACCAGACAGCCACTGGGAGTGCTTCCTGAATCCAAACTGTCTTTTGCTCTGCATAAGGACCTCCAGAATCAGCTTTTCCCCACAGATTCAATGCTGTCCTATGGGGGGGGGGGGTCTAATGCGCGCGCGGCATTTGGCGCGCATAAGCATTAGATCCCACTCGTTGCAGGACGGAGGTGGGGACGGAGCTTCGACCCAGCGCCGGGGGACATCGGCACTGGGATCAGGTGAGTAAATAAAGTTTTTTTTTAACCCTTTACTGTGTAGGAGGGGCAGTATCCCTTTAAGCTTCAATATCATGAATTTAATTGCTATTATTATTGGTATTCATACAGCGCCAACTTTTACCGCAGCCCTTTACAATATTATAAAGGAGGAAATTTAACAATAAATGAGACAGTTTCCAATGGTACAGAAACAATAGGTAGATGAGGATCCTGCTCAAACGTACCTTACATGGGGCAGTTTAGCTCTCCAGAGGGTGTATGTAACTGGAAGTGCAGGAAAAAACATCAGAAGTAAAACCTAGTGCTCAACTTAATCCTTAATTCTAGATCTACACACTTGTGGATGTATTCCAAGAGTAAAATCCTAAATAATAGAATAAGATAATGAATTTCCTTGAGGACGTAAGCTGTGCCGCAGAAGGGAATAAACGCACAGAGGGTAGTATCGCCTCTGTGTCCAGAGGGAGGTGTGATGTTAGGGAGGGGAGCACAGCGTCTCCCGCCGTCTCTGCATCTTAATCTCCGCAGGTGGGGACTAAACGCACACAAAACAATCTCCCTCACTTCGGGAATCTGTGAATAAATAATGCTGCATATGTATTGCATATAAAATGCTAGCTCCACGCCATTACACAAAGTGTTCACTGCAGTATATAGGAATTGGCTAAAAAAGATACATGCATACATTAATAAACTATATCTATCTATATCTGTAGAGAGAGATTCCTTACACTTCACTGCCAAAGCGTATACATCCTCAATGATGATATGATACATTCACTGCCCACTGCTTGCAGGTAAATAAATCCACACTCGTAATCTTAAAAATCAGTCTATACTTCATTGCACAGATGTCCTCAGAGAAGCTCCCAGTAAGCCTGTATAGCATGCAGAATGATAAATATGGATTCCTCATACCGGACTCCTGACTGCGTTATTTGGGTGTAGATACATACATAGTCCCCATTTATGAGCAGAAGGATTCCAAATCCTAAAACGTAGCTTGTTTTCTGGCGAAGCATGAATTAGCTACAGTTATATAAACAATGGAAATTTAATCCGTACTTTTATTCTCTGTCTGTTTAGGTTCCCAGGTTTCCAGTAAATCAAAACTCGATCTTCAGACTTATATTGTTCGTATCCGATGTTCGGGAATAATTTCAGGATTCTCCTTGCGATTTGCCAGAATGTGGGTTTCAATTTTGATTTAGGAGGCTCATCTGACACAAAGCAATGGATGGAATTTGTGAATTTAAAGGACCACGGTCATCAATTGTTTTTTTCATATCTTCATATTAGCTTTATGTTTTAATATACCCCATGATTATTTTTTATGTTTGTTTGTTTTTTTTACATTCTTTATGAATCTTAATTATTCTAGTGCACAAATAAACTTACAGGCTTATACGAATGTTTTACATGAGCATGCACAAAAAGTTGAACTCTTGTTTAACATAAAACATTGGAGGTACTGCACGTTTTATCGAAATTACACACTAAACAAATATGTCTAGAGGCATAGGATGTTATGACTCACTATCATATTATATATTCTAGACATTGTGAGGAAAAGTTTAACATATTTAGTAGTGAACATGTTTGAATAACTGGTGTTCCACCACAGAGGTAAGATGCATCCAGAAGCTAAGCTCTCCGTTCAGCCTTTGCCCTTCATAGGCACGATGCGGGCCCACCAGATGGCGTTGGTCTGCAGGCCTAGTGTTACCAAGATTGGTTGTGAGCCAAGCAATGTCAGGCAGCTTCCCTTCTTCCCATCATCCCGCTGTGGTTTTCCCAGGCTTGCCTGTCGCCTATGCAACACAGGTGTCTGCTTGGTGTTCACTCTGCTCTTGGTGCTCTGATGTGGTCTCTGCCGCCTCCGACTCACCCTGCTAATGGTGGACTTCACCGGTTAGCGTGGGATGCGGCAAGGAGGACTCACCAACTCTTGGTCAGCTTGTGGAGCAGGTAAGTTCAGTCTTGAGCTCAACTTTACCCAAAAAGCATTAAAAATTCCATCCTGTAGCCCATGGATCAGCGCAGCTAAGAGGAATAGGCCTTGACAGAGCCAGGAGGTAGGCATAGCAGCCACAGGAATTTAGTGACAGCTAGCATGCTGGGTAGGACGGAGCCATAAGGGGAGTAGTTATACCGGCCATTATAGGAAGTGGCCATTTTAACTGAACCTAAGCTTACCTGTCAGTTGTCCCTCCCACCCTCCCTGTATTTGGTTAGGTTAGTTGATTTCCCATTTTTTCACAGCTGCGGGGAATGGCCTGATTAAATCGGAGGGTAGATGGAGGAGAAAGTGGGCATCCTGAGGTTTAGTGTGGATTGGGCAGTGTTGCACGTGGTTGGTAGGTTCAAGCCCGTCGGTGGCTCCAAACCTGGGGGTGTGGTGGTGTCTTGGTACACCCTACACTGGAACTGGTGGGTAGCGGTGTCTTGGTACACCCCTACAACGGATATGGTGGGTAGCAGTGTCTTGGTACACCTCTACAATCGATATGGTGGGTAGCGGTGTCTCGGTACAGCCCTACAATTTAACCTGGTGGAAATGTGGTCAAATTGGGTGGCCAGTTTCTGTATTAACATGTTATTTAGTTTGTTATCTATTGCTATTATTGTGGGGTCATTGCTAGGGGTATGTTATGTATATGGGGGATGTTAACGTTATTAAGATTTGTTGGCAATGACCCCATTTGTTATTCCTTCATTATTTTATTAATAATTTAATAAAGCTGTGGACGAATTATTTCCAACAGTATAACCTGTGTCCGTGTTTTAATGGGGGTTTGGGTAAGGTTAGCGCATATGCCGGCAAATCCGACTGTGCGCCTGTCAAGGTGTTCAACAATGGGGGACAATTCTCCAGTGTGTGCAGGACATGTGGCGTCTGCCATCCTTGGCGTACCGGGTTTGGGATAGCCTCCATTGCAGTCAGGCCCGCCCCCAGTATTTTTTTAATATTCTTGATTTATAATTTTTTAATTTTTCAATTTGTCAATTTAAGAAAATACAGAATGAAAAGAAAAAAAAATTAACACAGTTATTTCAAAATAGAGAGACGCTAGGTTGTTTTAGGGGAGACAAGATGGTGTATGAATCCCTTTGGAAATGTAATATTGGTCAAGTAGAGAGAGCATATGTCGCAATAGGGGTGTAATTCAGGATCTGTTTTTGCAAGGTTTGACCAAGAGCCAAGGCTGCCATAAGGGGATCATGGTTCCTTAAGGCCTCCAGTACCCAGTACCTCAATATCACGTGTGGATTACCCTTTTAACTTGGGGTGAGCCAAGTTAATGCATTAAAGCTAAAAGAAAGAAAATGAGAAGTCTGAGAAGGTCGGCAAGGGACTTCTTAAAAAAAATATAAATATATATGAATTAGAAAAATGTATGAGATGGTATATTATAACAAAGATTATAATAAGATATTAATAAGTGTTGATTGCAGTGTTGATACAGAGAATATAAATCCCTGTGGTCTATATCAGAGAGTTCCAGGGAGATGGCAGGATTATTCTTCCTAACCATTGATGAATAACCCAAGCGAGGGTCCTAGTTCGTTCTTTCTGGGCCAGATTTAGGCCAGTCAACACCTCACAAAACAGGCAGAGGGTCCACCATTTGTGAATGGTTTCAGATTAGATCGAGTGGTGGCTCTCAGATAAGTGTGATGACTAGAGGACAGCCATTCAATGGTGGTGTTATTCACAGACTAAGTGAAAAGTAACTCATAGAGTGAAGGAAAGGAGGATTGAAACACAACCCCATATTTATATATTGTATCATGTATTATGTATTTATTTATTTTTACTGGTCCCCCCTCTCACGGTTACATTTTCTCACCTGATCTATGAACCAAATGGCTGAAAATGCTCCTATCCTTGTACTGCCAACTACATACATAATATTTCTATACTATAATTATATATAATTTGCTGTACTGATTGGCCTATTTTCACGCATATCGTTTCCCTCAATTTTATTAAAGACACGGAGGCTCCTATTATGCATTCTCTTTCTTTATTATACTCCCAGCAGCAAGAAAAGGAAGTATGAGAGAATCATATAAAAAAACATAACAACAGCCTGGTAACAGTAGCACCAATCAGCATCCAGTATTATCCATGTGGGTGTGGTGCTCCTTGACTCCTCCTCTTTCTTGCTGCTCCCTCAGACAAGTTAAGTACTTCATCTCTTGCTACTCCTGTGATTTTTCATACATATATGTGTATTTTGGGTAAAAGATTTTAGCATAGTGTATGTTTATGCTTATTTTATGCTTCACTGTTATTACTGGTTATTTAATACTGGTGTCTGGGAGTGCTGCCTATTAAATAGGGGTCTCTGGGACCCTGAGGTTTTCCCCCTTTCAGTGGTGTTAGACTCTTTACCCTGCTCGTTTCCGTTTTTGTGTGGGTGCAGCAGGGCTGTTTTTAGCTGCTCTCCTTAGCCGCTCTCTGTTTTGGTCGCGGTCTATTCCGCGGTTTTCTGCCAGTCCGCTCATGCGCAAACGCTCTTTTGCCGGTTTTTCCCCTTTTCCTAACGGCCGCGCATGTGCAGTACGTGCCGCGGCGGCCATCTTTTTGGTTTATGTCGCCGCCTATGTAAATTTTCTCGCGGCGGCCATTTTAAGTACGTTTTCGGCGGGAAATTGCTGCGCACCGATGCTGTAGGTGGATAACGGTCTCTCCTACCCTCCTGGCGCACTCCCAGACCCATTCTGTGCTTATTTACTGTGTTGTTGTCTTTGCTGGTCAAACTGTAAGTGTTGGTGTGGAGGATTACTCTATCCTGACACCCTTTTTGTCCTTAGCCTTAACTAGTATATTTTTTCCCTACAGGTCATTTCAGTTACTGTTCTTAACCATTAGCTACTACTAGTGGCATTACCTTATCGGGCCCTATAATTCTAACTCTGAGTGGACTTGGGTGTTTTATCCCCTGTGAGTTTATATTATTGCTAAAATGCAAGATCAGAATGAAAGACCTGCAGGGTCTGTGTGTCCTACACCAGGGGTTTCCCCCTCAGACAGGGCATGTAAGGATGACGCCAGCCTCATGGCATCGGAGGAATTTCAATCCCTCCTCGATTCTACCATGGCACAATCCATCAACAAGGCGTTAGCCTCCGCGATGGGGGTCATGTCATCCTCTATCACACAATCTGTAACCAAAGCGCTGATACAGTCTCAGAGTTGTGGCCCTCAGAGCACACTAAATCCGGGAACCACTAATGTGGTACAACCGGGACGTAAAGCCTTGACGAAAAGCAAACATATTGCCTCCCCTCCAGAACTGCAGGTTCAGCCTGCAATGACTGACACGCCTCAGGCTGTCAAGGATGGCGCGATACCACCGCGCAATAGAGCCCCTGGCCGGGCAAAATCGGCCAGATCTTGGAAGTGGGCACGTGCCCAAGAGGACTCGTCCGATTCGGACCGGAGTTTGGAGGAGGAGTATGATGAGTTATGCATGGACCATTATAGTGCGGAATATTCCGATTCAGGGTCCGAGGTGAAATTTGACACTGCGACCCAGAAGGCTACGGCTCAGGGCACTGAGCCTGCCGTATCGGGCGAGGGCGACGATTTGCGGGACCCTCTGGGTAACCCGTTGTTTGACCCAGATAACCTCCGTCACCCTCGCTCGGTGGAATGGGAGCCGCCTGAGCACATTGCGAGTTACCTCGCGCTAAGAGTAAGAAAACCTTTATCTATGGAAGGACGTAACAAGCTACGGGCAGAATGCCCGCGGCCTTTCCTTCCAGACTCAGTGGGAAAAACCCCTGATGTGGATCCCCAATTGGTCCAATTTTTGAATAAGTCGGGTTGGAAACCTAGGAAAGGTTTGGATTTCTCCCTTCGGAACTGCCAGGACAAGTTCCTGGACACTCTGGGGCCCATCACCAAACTTTATGAGTTAGTGGAATCTGCCCAATCTGGTGAGAATGACTTCGATTTCGAAGTAGCGAAAGGCTGGTTGCAGAGGTTAGTCTGCATGGTGGGTAACGCCAATACAGCCATGGCAACCGAACGCCGCAAGGCGATTCTCATGAGAATAGAGCCCAAACTGGTCAGTATGGCGACCAATGAGCCGGGGCCAGCCGCTAAAGGCTTACTCTTTGGTGAATCCTTTACTAAGGATCTTGGGCTGTACGTTAAAACATTTACAGCAATTGACAAAGCTCAGACTTCTCTAAAAAGAGTATTTGCACCTCGGGTTTTTGGAGGGGCCGGTAGAGGAAGGAGCCGTCTATCCGGCCGTGGATTTCGTGGCTCATTTAGAGCCGGCAGAGGCTCCTTTAATACCCAGAGACCGGTACCAGAACGAACTTATACCCCGTTCTTCCCATCTCGTGGACGCCCCTGGAACTCCCGCGGACCGCGGGGGTCTGTCTCAGGCAGACGACCTTATGGTGAGTACCGAGTATCTCCATTTTTCCCATATAAAAGTGGGGGGCAGATTGGCACTGTTTCACCATGCTTGGAAACTTCTAACCGCAGATGTGTGGGTATTAAATACAGTACAGGGGTACCTGATGGAGCTAGTCTCTTACCCTACTCAGGTGCAGTTCCCTCGAGAACTAAACATGGCCAACGACCACCAGAAGATGATCTCGGCAGAGATTGCAGATTTGGCGTCAAAACACGCTATTCAACAAATCCCATGGGACACAGAAGGGATTGTAAACAACCTGTTTCTGGTTCCAAAGAAAGGGGGTGGAGTACGCCCAGTAATAAATCTCCGACCCCTAAATGCGTTTGTCCAATATCACCATTTCAAAATGGAGGGTATTCATTGCCTTCGGGACATCCTACTGCCATCAGATTGGATGGTCAAGATAGATTTACGGGATGCTTATCTGACAATCCCTGTCGCGGAAGCGCACCAAAACCTACTGCAGTTTCAGTGGCAAGGAACGAAGTGGAGGTTTGTATGTCTACCGTTTGGTCTGTCCTCTGCTCCATGGTGCTTCACAAAGGTACTAAAGCCGGTGATTGCCTTCCTGCGCACACGAGGGGTCAAGTTAATAATTTACCTGGACGATATCCTTCTCCTGTCTCAATCTCAATCCCAATTACGGGTTCATTTGTCTTGGACAACACACCTTCTCCAGAACTTAGGATTCTTGGTGAATTGGGAGAAATCTGTCCTTCAACCCTCCAGATGCATGGAATTTCTGGGATTTCAAGTGGACTCTGTACAGCAGAGGTTGTGCCTACCCAAAGACAAAATGATTTCGATCAAGAAAGAGATCAGATGACTTATGATTCGTACGACCATTTCCCTCAGACAACTTGCGAGGATCATAGGGCTACTGGCATCGTCCATACAAGCAATCTTCCCGGGCCCGTTACATTATCGTGCCCTACAAAGGCTCAAGGCCTCATATCTGCGCTCCGGACACTCGTACGAAACCTGTGTTACACTGGACGAAGATTCCAGAGAGGAGTTGACATGGTGGCTAGCCCACATGGAGGCGTGGAAAGGACGGGCGATATTCGGGTCTACGCCAGATCTGGTCATAGAGTCAGACGCCAGCTTACACGGCTGGGGCGCGCATTGTGGCTCAGTTTCCACCGGTGGCAGATGGTCCAACGAAGAAACGTTGTTACACATCAACTGCCTAGAACTGTTAGCGGCATCCTTTGCCATTCGCAGCATGACCCCCACAGGCATCTCATGCTCTATCCTAATCAAGATGGACAACGTTTCGGCGGTGCGTTATATCAACCACCTAGGAGGAACGAAATCGAAAGTTCTGGCACTGATGGCTCGAGATTTTTGGCATTTTTGTCTAAAACACAACATTTCGGTAATAGCGGAATATATCCCAGGACGGGACAATGCACTAGCGGATTGGAATTCTCGATATCTTCGAGACACAGGGGATTGGCATCTCCACCCAATGATCTTCCAATGTCTCTCTCGACTTTGGGGACCTCTCAACATAGATCTCTTCGTGTCTCGGCTGAACACCCAACTTCCTCGGTTCTTCAGTTGGAGACCGGACCCAGATGCGCTGGCGACAGACGCATTCTTACAAGACTGGTCCAAGGGCAAGAATTACGCTTTTCCACCGTTCAGCCTCATCTCTCGGACCCTTGCATACCTTCGATATTCCAAAGGGACTCTAGTGCTGATAACCCCGATATGGAGGTCACAACCTTGGTTCCCACAGTTATTAGAAATGTCGATAGATTCCCCACGACTCTTGCCGGACATATCCTACCTCCTGACCGATCCAGAGGGAATGAGTCATGAGTTGATCGACCAGGGTCTACTTCGCCTGATGGCTTGGTTCCTTTCAGGGGAACATGGAATCTCGAGGATGTTTCGCAGACAACACTCGGTCTCTTGGCAGAGTCTTGGGCACCAGGTACCAGACGTTCCTACGGGTTGGCTTGGAGGAAGTGGACTGATTGGTGCGTGGGACAATCAGTGGATCCCAGATCAGCTCCTGTGAAAATAATCTTACAATTCCTGACTCTACTCTTTGAAGAAGGTAAAGCCTTTCGGACTATAAATCTATACGAGACATAGGGGATTGGATGGTACTCCAATAGGTAAACATACCCTCATCTGTCGTTTGCTCAAAGGCATCCGGTTTGCTCGACCCCCGCAGGCTCGGTATTCTTCCTTCTGGGATGTCAATGTGATTTTTTGTTTTCTCGAGTCTTGGCCTTTGAATCATGAGCTTTCTCTTAAACAATTATCAACCAAACTGTTGATGTTGTTTTGTTTACTTTCATGTAAACGGGTTGCTGATGTCAGAGCATTGGATTGGCAAGCACGCGCTTTTGTTCCGAACGGAGTTTCCTTCAATATTTCACGAAGGACAAAGTCTGCAACTAAGGAGGTTTTCTACCCGTCGTTTCCAGACAATCCGAATCTGTGCCCAGTGTTATGCCTTAAGGAATACGAGCGCCGCACGAGCTCGCTCCGTCCTGATCAAACCCATCCATTATTCATCTCGTTCAGAGTACCGCACCTACCAGTATCTACTCCTACTTTAGCTCGTTGGATCAAATGGTTATTATCCGTGGCAGGCATAGACACTTCAATTTTCTCCTCACACTCCATTCGCGGGGCGATGGCTTCTAAAGCTTCCATGATAGGTTGTAGATTGGAAGACATCTTACGAGCAGCTGATTGGTCGAATGAGTCTACGTTTTGTAATTTCTACTTTCGACCGGTACAACATATTTCCAGTTTGGTGGTTGCTCAGCTTTAAAATAGCATAATAGGAGCCTCCGAGTCTTTAATAAAATTCCCAGATTTTACTATTAACATGACGTAAAGTCATGATTTTATTAATGACACGGAGGTGAGTATTATTCCCACCCGCCCTACCCAGGGTGGTGTTTAAGTTACAGGTCAATCATGGGACCTTTGGAATGACAAAATACGGTAGGTAAAGTGTCATACACGACACGAAGGTGAGTAAGGTTTGTGATGAATATACTTCTATATACTTATAGTGTTGGAATAACGTAGTGGAAGAGTTGGATTACCATATATTTCTTCTTTTTTAGCTTGAATACACCTGTGAAAGTTGGCGGTTGAAGCTGTTCCCTGTTGAATTTCCGGTTATGGTTTTGTTTCGGGAATTCGTGTTGTTGGAATATTTTGGAACTTACACTATGGTCTTCGGGATCTACGCAGAAAGAGGAGGAGTCAAGGAGCACCACACCCATATGGATAATACTGGATGCTGATTGGTGCCACTGTTACCAAGCTGTTGTTATGTTTTTTTATATGATTCTCTCATACTTCCTTTTCTTGCTGCTGGGAGTATAATAAAGAAAGAGAATGCATAATACTCGCCTCCGTGTCATTAATAAAATCATGACTTTACGTCATGTTAATAGTAAAATCTGGGAATTTTCTTGCACGGTTGATGTAACGGATCACCTTCCATTAATGGACGCTTCCTAGCTTGCGCCGAGGACCACAAGCACCGCACTGGACACCACAACCACCGCAGACTCCACAACTGCCGTAGCTTAACTGGAGCCTCGTCGTCTTCCGTCCACCCTGGATCAGCTTCTGTCCTCCAGGACCGTGTGGGGAAGACCTCTCCTCCAGGAGAGCGTATCAGGAACAAGCTCTTAAAAGAGCTAAGTGATTAAAAGCTCAGAGCATAGCAATCCCCAGTGTGCAGAGCATAGCAATCCCCAGTGTGATTATAGCAGCTCCCTCCAATAACGAGACAAGGCTACGTATTGAGGGTCAAACAGGATCTGAGGTTTAATTACACACACTCTGCTTTTATGCAATTCTCCCCTGCAAGGGAGACGCCCACGGACAATTATACAATACCCAATCACACAATGGTTACATCCCACACATCTCCTCCCCTTAGCCTGAGAGGTAACCCAATTATCCATACCTTTCAAAACATACTTTTTACCCAACTTTCATAACTCTAAAACCATACATCCAATATTAATAAAATTACATATTATTAATCAGCACATTCCAAATACAAACATACCCAAAAATCATTTGAATCCGTTCAGCCGTTTGGGAGATACATATAAGTCACTTTTGAACGACCGCAGGCACATTTTCATGCCCAAAACAGTTCCATGGATTTGGGCTGTGCGGTCGGTCTATTTTACACCGAGAAAATGACTAAGTCCCATTCGAACGAGTGTTTGAATCTTCGAACGGGACTTAGTCTCCAGCCGCAGTGTTGAAGTAGAGTAGAACGTATGGGTCAGCGGTCTTCGTACAATTGGGTAGCCGAAAACAGTTCCATAGATTTGGTTGCACATACCGCTGTCTGCGTTCAAATGAGTTAAAATGGCCGCCGCCACATGTTTGGTATTCGAATGGCGGCCACTTCGACGACTTCGACAACTTCGACTGCTTCGACAGCATCCGAAGTGCCAGTTTAAAAGTACAAATCCTTTCTTTGGACATTAAAGGGCCAGAAACAGCAATATAAGCCTAAAGTATGCCCACATCAGTTCCTAGAAGGGCAATACATCCGAGGGCCATAGTCGCAGGGCAGGAGGCAGGCAAGCAGGCCTCTCCAGGACAAAGTGGCGAAGGGCACTTTGACACACATCTCCCCTTTGGGGGGAAGACTAACCAGACACCTGACCTTCTGTCGGTCAGTGCCTAAGTTAGTCGATCCGCCCACCCACAATAAACAAGTGCCAGAGCAGCCCACCCACAACAAACAGTTACTGCACCTGGGTATCCCTCTGGGTTGATGGGGCAACACGCTGTGGGGACTTGAGGGGCAGAGGCCAGCGGCGCTCTGCCCTGATGTCAGCGCTTCTGCTGGGAGGAGGGGGGTGCAGGCCAGTCCTGTGACAATGGGATCGGTAGGGCAGAGGCCAGCGGCGCTCTGCCCTGATGCCAGCGCTTCTGCTGGGAGGAGGGGGGTGCAGGCCAGTCCTGTGACAAGGGGATCGGTAGGGCAGAGGCCAGCGGCGCTCTGCCCTGATGCCAGCTCTTCCACTGGTATAGCCTGCAGGACATCAGGCTCTGGACAAGGGACAAAGGGAGGGCAGAGGCCAACTGCACTCTGCCCAGCTGCCAGCTCTTCTGCTGGGATGCTTGGGACATAGTCCCGCTCAGTAGCCAGGGGAACGTGGGGGTCAGTGGGGGTTAACATCTCCTCTGTTAACCCTGGGGCCAAGTTGGGAGTTAGCTGGGGAGGGGAGAATTGGCTTACCTCCTCCTCCTGATACTCCTGTGATTGTAGCTGGGGATCTGTACAAGCTGTCCAGCATCCCTGTGGGTCAGGCACAGAGACCACAGTCCCATCTGCGCCGTCTAGAAGATTGGTTTCTCCCCTTAATTGGGTAAGCTGCCGCTGGGGAGAGAGGGGGCTGTGCTCCTCTCCCTGAAACACATGCTGCCGCTGGAGAGAGAGACCGACTGTCTCCACTCCCGTAACATTGTCCTGCTGCTGGGGAGAGAGATCAACTTTCTCTGCCCCCTGTAGGACACACTGCCGCTGGGGAGGAAGGACAACAACTTTGGCTCCCTGTAATTCGCACTGCCGCTGGGGAGGAAGGACGACACCTTCGGCTCCCTGTAACTCCCACTGTCGCTGGGGAGGAAGGATAACACCTTCGGCTCCCTGTAACTCACACTGCTGGGGAGGAAGAACGACACCTTCGGCTCCCTGTAACTTGCACTGCCGCCGGGGAAGAAGGATACGCTGTTGCTGGGGCGCAGGGACAGAATACTTCACCATCTCTGCCCAATATTCTGCTTCCTTCTGCAGACCCTCGGCTATTTCGCTCCTCATTCTCTGTACACGTTCCTCCGTTGGGTTGGGCCCGTAGAGAGCCAACCCCCACTTCAGTATATGGTCAAACCATACGTGAGTATACCAATACTCCAGGTTTGCTTGGTGTTCCCAGGATGCTGCTCCTCGCACTAAGGAAGTCATCCCACCGCTGCCACCAATTTAACGGATCACTTTCCGTTAATGGACGCTTCCTAGCTTGCGCCGAGGACCACAAGCACCGCACTGGACACCACTACCACCGCAGACTCCACAACCTCCGTAGCTTAACTGGAGCCTCGCCGTCTTCCATCCACCCTGGCTCTGCTTCTGTCCTCCAGGACCGTGTGGGGAAGACCTCTCCTCCAGGAGAGTGTATCAGGAACAAGCTCTTAAAAGAGCTAAGTGATTAAAAGCTCGGGGGAGTATGCAGAGCATAGCAATCCCCAGTGTGATGATAGCAGCTCCCTCCAATAACGAGACAAGGCTACATATTGAGGGTCAAACAGGATCTGAGGTTTAATGACACACACTCTGCTTTTATCTAATTCTCCCCTGCAAGGGAGATGCCCATGGACAATTATACAATACCCAATCACACAATGGTTACATCCCACACATCTCCTCCCCTTAGCCTGAGAGGTAACCCAATTATCCATACATTTTAAAACATACTTTTTACCCAACTTTCATAACTCCAAAACTATACATACAATATTAATAAAAGTCACATATTATTAATCATCACATTCCAAATACAAACATACCCAAAAATCATTCGAATCCGTTCAGCCGTTCGGGAGATACATATAAGTCACTTTTGACCGACCGCAGGCACATTTTCATGCCCAAAACAGTACCATGGATTTGGGCTGTGCGGTCGGTCTATTTTACACCGAGAAAATGAGTAAGTCCCATTCGAACAAGCGTTCGAATCTTCAAACGGGACTTAGCCTCCAGCCGCAGTGTCGAAGTAGAGTAGAACGTATGGGTCAGCGGTGTTCGTGCAATTGGGTAGCCGAAAACAGTTCCATAGATTTGGCTGCACACATCGCTGACCGCGTTTGAATGAGTTAAAATGGCCGCCGCCACATGTTCGGTATTCGAATGGCGGCCACTTTGACGACTTCGACAACTTCGACACTTCGACAACTTCGACATTTCGACTGCTTCGACAGCATCCGAAGTGCCAGTTTAAAAGTACAAATCCTTTCTTTGGGCATTAAAGGGCCAGAAACAGCAATACAAGCCTCCAGTATGCCCACATCAGTTCCTAGAAGGGCAATACATCCGAGGGCCATAGTCGCAGGGCAGGAGGCAGGCAAGCAGGCCTCTCCAGGACAAAGTGGCGAAGGGCACTTCATCACAGTTGATATTTGGACGAACTGAACTGCTACACGGACCTCTGAACTAAATTAGATTATTTTTAGATGAAGTCATTCGACTGATCAGAATTTTTCTAGTACTTATCGCAGGTTCAGAAATGGGCCACCTACCTGCCTTATGACATTATATAAGTGTCTACGAGTGGCGTGTATAATGGCACCAGGAGCACGGTTATGGTTAAATGGAGTCTTCGGATGCCTGCACTGTTAACAAGCCCCCAC